AGGCAATTCTCCTGCCTCAGCCTCCTGAGTAGCTGGGATTACAGGCACGCGCCACCATGCCCAGCTAATTTTTTGTATTTTTAGTAGAGACGGGGTTTCACCATGTTGACCAGGATGGTCTCCATCTCTTGACCTTGTGATCCACCCGTCTCGGCCTCCCAAAGTGCTGGGATTACAGGCGTGAGCCACCGCGCCCGGCCCAGGAGACTCCCTTTCACAGCTTGCTAGGCAACGGGTGCCATCCCCAGCTCTGGCGCTGCTACAAGCCTGACTTGCTGGGCAGCGAGTGCCGTCCTGGCTAACTTAGAGTTACAGCTGCAAGTTACAGCTTAAAGTTATAAATGCAATTTGGCTTGTAACTTGCATTTGTAACTTTAAGCTGTAACTCGCAGTTGTAACTTTAACTTGTAACTTTAAGCTTGCACTCTTGCCTGGTGGTCATTCTTTACAATGTCCCTTCCATTCCTAAACCAACTTCACCTGCAAGGTCCCGTATCATAACAATAGAGTAAAGTTTACAATAAGAACTAATGATCCTACAGGATTAATTATGTACTTATTTCTAGATCTTATCTCTATTTCAACTGTAATATTCTTGCTACATTTTCTAACTATGTATTCATTACACAGGGACACATTGTGCCTTCAACTTCTTGCCTTGGCACCTATGCCGTTTTCCACCCATACCTGCTTACAGTGTCTTGCTGCAGCTGGACAGTCCTCCTTAAAGGGACCTCACAGGGCCCTGTGAGTCATGGCCCCTCTCCATTCCTGCTCAGGCACTGGTGTGGGAGGCCCTGGGGTGTTTTATCTTTCTCTGGCTCTGGCCTTCCTTCTGGTTTTCTCCGGGTCCCTCCCTCTGGCAGAGGAACCTCTCATAAAGACAGGTTGCTCTGTCTTTGTCTTGGGCAGGAGCCAAGGCCAAGACACTGCAGAAAGGCATTGCAGCCAGAGCCCGGGAGGCGGGTCCAGACCAGGCTGAGAGAGAGGCATGTGCCCCCTCACCTGGTGTATAGACAGGCTGGAGTCCCCTCTGCACCACCCCCTCCGCAGCCCTAATGTCTGCCCAGAGTTTTGCCAGCACCTCCCTGTTGAGTGAGGGGAGGCTTTGAGACTCCAGTGGTGAAGGAAGCCTGGACTCCAAACAGCAGAAACGAAGGCTCAGATGTGCCTTGAGTCCCCGGCTGTGTGCTGGCTCTGTTGCAGGCGTCCCCTCTTCCAACCTCCCAGCTTCCAGAGGGTGGGGGGCAGGTCAGCCCCTCAGAGGGACTGTGAGGGGAGGGAGATGTCTACAAACAGGCTTACTGCCCACAGGGACTTCTCAAGGGGTTCTGTGAACCAAGAACATGCAAAACACACACACACACACACACACACACACAGCCTCCTGATTACTTAAGTCCATCTAAGTATATTTTGGAGGAATGCATGTACATTGTATTCTTGAAATAATCTTCCTGAAGATTCTTTTAGGAGGAATCTGTTCCAGTTGGAGAAGTTGTGCTCTCTGTAGAGGCTCTGAACTCCTCTGGCTGCAACCTGCAGGCAGATAGGGAAGAGGCTGCATGGGTGTTGGTGGGCCCCTACCTGCATGGAAGCTTGTCCTCTCTCTGCACAAAGTGATAGTTTTTGGAAGGTGAAGTTTCTGTTGCCATCACGTTTGAACGCAGGAGGCGGGGGTTGCAGTGAGCCAAGATCTCAATATTGCATTCCAGCCTGGTAGACAGGGCAGGACTCTGTCTCAAAAAAAAA